CTTAGGATAGTTTGTCAAAGAAAGTTACTTTATATAATAATTAGTACAATAATTTCTAATTGATCTGTGTTATCTTAAAAGAAGTAATATGGTCGCATGGAATATTGAAGCCGTGAATTGCAATGATAATTTTATGGCCATTTTCTTCATTATATTTTGCAGTGGATCTACTTGTTATTTACCTGATAAGCTCATAAGTCACATGGTTAATATGGAAGGTTCTCATGATTTTTAGAAAGAATGGAAGCTTTATCTCACTCATTTTGTGAAAATTCTTACTTTTGCTTGTTTACATATTTGATGTGGTGTGATGAAGTTATCATGAAGATGTTGCTGCTGTGTTTTATGTACTGTTTATTTATCAAATATTGGAGGCATGTCATCTGAGTTCCGTGTTGCTTTAATTTTTTTCCTATATTTTAATTAACCTCTTAAGTATGTTGAGGGTGATGAGTTCAACGACTCCTTCGGCATTTCTGATCTTGCAGAAACTTTGTAACGATGCTAGTTCACACTCCCAGTCATTACAAAATCCAAACACTTGTGTCCTGCTCCGAATATCTCTTTTTTAAGTCTAGCAAATGTTCTTTTAGTAAAAGTGGTTTTTGAATTTTTTATTTTTGAGATAGCATGAGTCCGAGAAACCAAAACCACTCATTTTCCTTTATTTATTCTACCGAATTTATATTGAGATTGGTGGAACTTAATACTGAAATTTGACTTGTTGCAGCAGATTTTAGCATGTCCAATGCTCAGAGAGAACATGCATTGGCTATGGAACGGCTGGTTCCTGAATTGGTTGCACTAAGACTGAATCTTTGCAGTTACATGAACGTGGAGAAATTTTGGATGATCTATTTTTTGCTAATACTTCCAAGACTAAATCAGCATGATTATGAGTGCTTATCGACCCCCAAGGCAAGCCGTTTTTACCCAACATTGCCTTATTGAAGTTCCCTTATAACTTGTATTTATGTGAATTATTTATGCATGCTAGTTAGATCAGTCACTATACTCTAGGAAACCATGTTATTTTTGAATTACAGAGCACTAATACAAGCTATACATTATTCTATTTCTATATGCTTAATTGAATTGATGCTCTAGTTTCTCGTCACCCCAGCCCCACCCCCCTTTGATTATACAGCTTGTATATGATACATTAGTGAATAGCAGACCACTATCTGCTGCCAGTCTCACCTTGGTCTGGTAATATTTTTGATAAATTATATGTCTTGCCGTGAAGTTTTAGCATCTGTCTTTGTTTATTTTATGACTTTCTCTCCAGATGTGTTGGTTCTATAAAACAAATTTCAGATTGTCGTTTATTGCACGCAACAACTATGTGATTGAAGATAATGTCATAGATAATTGTCTCTTTTATTCTTTGTACAAGTTTGGGTAACAACAATCTCTAAGTGATCGCTATATCATGTTTTCCCGTTTTTCTTTTTGTAGATTGTTGACGCAAGAGATGTGCTTCTCCGGAAACTTGGAGAGGGGAAAAATTTGCAAGCTGAAGAAAGTGAAAAACCTGGGACTGTGGATTCACATCAAGAAGTTAGGGAGAACTGTGAAAGAGAAAGTATCTCATTTGAGCAAGACCAGGTTTTGACTGAGGTCACAAATGCAGTGGAGGGTTTAGAAGTTGATGACACGGTTAGTACTGAAAAATGGTTAGAAGATACCGATATTGATGCTAGTTCATTTGCTTCCTGTACAAAACTTCAACAGGAAGAGGATGTGTCATTCAGTGACCTAGAGGATGATGGGAGTTATAGCTCCGATAAATTATCAAGTCACAGGGAGACGCAGGACATCAGGGGTTCATCCCCTGAAGGTGCTACTAGTGACTGGGTTCGGCTGCATGAAAGTTCTCTGAGAGATGTCAGGAAGAAGGTTATTCGTTTAAAAGGTAAGGATTCAGAAGATGAGTCAAATGATTGGCTCTCAGTTGATGATTTTAATTAGTTAGGCTTTCCTTGATTCACCAACTTGTAAAGGTTCATTATTTTTCATTTCTCAATGGCTCTGTATTTAGGGGTACCATTATATAAATTAAACTATTTACTTTCTTATTCACACGTGCATATTTCTTCTCTGTACAAGGCTAAGACTATTGTGCATTTGGTAAAACATCGTTCATTTGTTGAAAGTGTACAATGCAAACAAATCAAAGATTTCAAGAATAATTTTAACTTGGAAGTTTCTGTTAGTTGATCAGTAACACAGAACGTTGACGTCAAACCGTTCATTGAAAAGGTCTTTGGATTTAATTGCGATGAGTGTTGTTTTTTTTCAAATACTCTGTCGTTATAAAGAGTTTAGATGTCAGAGAGAATTAATTCTTTAACGTATGATTGAATAATACAGTAAAAATGTATGGTGAAAGAAAGTACACTAAAATGAATTTTACCAAGAAAATGACGACTTGCTTGAGTTTAGTGATAAGGGAGTTATTGCAGTTTAAGCCATGTTGTCTGTACTTGAAGTGTTTTATTTTCTACTTATGGAGTCTCTGACCATACCAAGACACAGATAGAGAGAAAAGTAGAGAGAAAGCAATAATAGCATATTGGAAGTTGTAAAATACACATCTACGCAGATCTGAAGCATAAAGAATGGGGTTTGGTTTGAGTGTGGTAGATTGCTTAAATAGAAAGGCCACTACAGAGAAACATTATGGGAAATGTGGCCCCAACAAAATCCAAAGAAGGATGCCCCCTACAGATGAGAGTTACTTTTCTTGATTGAGTTTATTTATAACTTTAAAAGAGTCAATGCTTCCCAAAACCAAGGCTTCTTCATTCTTCCTAAAGAACAAACCAGATGCATTTTTTAAATACGAGTTTGGTGCCCTACATCTTTTTCCCAAATTTGACCTATTACCCCTTAACTCTGATTTTCGTTTATTTGTAAGCTTGGCATCTATAATTCATTGACTAATTCATGTCGTCTACTCGATACATTAATGTAATTATTAAAGTACAAATCTCATTAGACAATCTATCATGTCATAATGATATCTTTATACTTCTATTTAAGTATTAGTGACTTGTATCATCAACTTAGTCTATAAAAATTCTATCAACTCTTCACCATGATTTGTCAATTTAACTTAAGTATGATTAAAACCTATATATCTCTCCAACAATCCTTAACTTAATTAGTACACCACATCTTAACATGTCAATGGTACTTCTTTAATAACTACTAACACATACATAACATACACATCAAAGTACCATTTAGGTACGTAATTATTCACACCATCATCAACAAAATATCAATTCATTAATTGAACTCAATAATTACAATATTATTCTCTATAATATAAATCATGTCTTACATTATCCAATACATAGTACACATATCAATGTTAAAACGTACACATTTGAAGCAATCTCTTGCAATAATGGTGTCTTGATGCCTTGAAGAAGTAGTCTCCGGAAGAAGAATGTTTCTGTCTTTCTGTCACGTCTTTTAAAGTCACTTAATTTCATTAATTCGTTCATCGCAAATGTACTGGTGCGCTATGCGAATTTTCTTAACTGCTGCACTTTAACTAATGTTATTTGCTCAGCGCACAGGTACTGGTGCGCTATGCGAATTTCCTTCTACTCGCAGTGCGAATTTTGGCTTTCGCTTTGCAAAAATTGGCTGACTAAGTCTAAATAATACACCATTTTCTGTACAATATTTTACATAACAATCTACTACCTATTATAACTTTTGAATGAGGAACAACATGAATAATTACAAGATTGAGCTCATTTATAAGTATAAAAACAACTCTTTTCCACACTTATCACTTACATTATCCAATACATAGTACACATATCAATGTTAAATCTCCGTATAAAAGCAAACATATATTGCTTAAGTGACACGTTTTTTCTTAAGCACAATCAAAGGACATTTACATTGACATGATTTTTGTTTAAGTGAAAAATCACCATCACCTTTTAATGATATTATGGTCATTTCAACTAAATTCTATCGAAAAAGAATTGTTTGAGAATTTTTGTTTGAGAAAAATAATGTGAAGGTATGTTTTTCATCACACATTTTCATTCTAATGTATGTATAAGTGCATTCTTACTAAATATTACTATTTGAAACCACCAATGCAACTTAACAAAGAAATATTGTAATACCATCTCACTCTTTAAGTAACAACCCAACAATTAAATCTCCACTTCAGTTCATAAGCAGTGCATTATATTACATCTTCAGACAAATATAATTCCATTTTAATGCAATCATAATTTATTCAACATTTAACGTGTAGGATTACTTTACTTCTATTAATTCAAACTCAAATTCAGACAACATTTATTCAAAATAAATATAAATATATTTATCTTAATTAACCTCCTCAGAGATGTCTTAGAATAGAAAATTATCTACTAAACTACTCTTGAAAATAATGATAACCTAGAAAAATTCAAAACATTAAAAAAGAGAGAGTTGATATTGATAAAACAACCTATAAACTCACTCAATCTTATATATTAAATTGGAGGGAGAAAAAGAAATATTTAATGATACGGGGAGTGCATTCCATTTTATTGTATTCTCTTTCATGTTATTTTAAACAAATCAAACCATAAAAAAGTAATGTCCGATTTATTTCCTTTAATATAAACATAACTCGAGAGATGCAATAAACGAATTATACAGACACTTAAATCCCGCTAAACAGAAAATGCACTGTTGGTACAATTATACATACACGAGAGACCTCAAGCATCATGCATACATATATGACTCAATTGTTAATCATAAAACAAAGAAAGTATCTCTTGAGTGAAATTTACTACAACAATATTCAGAAAATTTTAAAAATAATAATAAGATAGTCAAAATTCTTAATATCCCTTCAATCCAATATTTCATACAACTTTTTTCTATGCATCATACTATTTACTTTGTGTCCAAACAATAGTTCAAATATTTGCTTTGACTAAAGATGGTAAGAGATTGTGAATAGAACTAAGTAGGGCTTAAAGCTTTGAACAACTTTGTTATTGCGATTTTTAGGTTCCAAAAATTTCACCCAAAGGTTATATCTTTCTTTCATAAAAATGCTACCCATATGCCTGATTTGATAGCATTAATGCAAAGGAAATTCAAAAAAGCAATTACACGAACAATCTTCAAGAGGGCAACTTGCAGAGTCATCCTTCTTTGACTGACCCTTTTTGGTTGCCTTCAGAGCTTATCTCAAGCAATTAGTCAACAAGGGACCACGGCAGAGGAAGGCGAGTATAATGTAAGATACAACGATGAATACTATGATAAGGGCAACCCTGCATCAGGAAGAGAGGGATCATAAATAACCATGAAATCAATTATATATGGATATTAAGGTATGAATTTATCGTACTTACGTTAACCTAACGTTGCTCCACCACAAGTTATTTTTATAACGACGGGAATGTTTTCTGAAACGAATTGAATTGTTATTCATTGCTGAAGTTTTCTCTACCAACAGTTCCAACCTCCCACCTCTCTCCAATACTTTTTCAATGTTGTCCACCATCACAGTTCTCACCTATATATATTATCATGACATGGTCAATATTCAAAAACTACTTTTGAGAAGAAATTATAGAGAATGTGTATATTTAAACTTGCCTGAGTCATTTCACCTTTGAGACGGTTCAATCTATCAGCATTTGGGTCATTGGAGTAATAATCCATCTGCTGGCTCAGGATCCTTGAGAACTCATCGTTCATGGCGTAGGCAGGAGATGAAAGAATCGCACGCCCATATGTCTTCACAAATTTTTTATGAATATCTTCAAGAAATGCAAAAGGGATCATTCCTGTAGTCAAGGCGAAAACAGAAAAACATTGCTTCACGATTGGATAATCAGATTAAAACACAAGTTTCAAGAAAGATGAATGAGAGGAAGCTGATTACTTCCAAATGCATCATCAGCCATGCAAAGAACAGTGAGGCCATCTGTCCTCTTGACATGAAAAACATAGCGATCATGGGAAAAGGAGACATTGCTGTCTTTGTTGTTGTCGTCCCCGACATTGATCTTGCTGAGTATCTGTTTGGCTACCACACTGGCATTACTCTGGGTGGCGCTGAACTCAGCCAGAACCACCTCTCCCCTTGCCACCATTCCATACAAAATCCCCATTGATCCTCAGAGTTATTCCTTAATCTTTTTCTCAAAGGTGGAAAAGCTTTCCCAAGATCAACAAGGCTAATCTCCCTTTTTTGTGTATTGGTTTTGGTTTTGGTTTAGGAGGTGCAATTACACCAACACCAAGACAAGGATGAAGAGAAAACAAAGTGGCCATTTGATTTGATCTAGAGTCCAAAAATGGGGTAAACGACATCTGGAAATTTAAAAGGAAACTCTGCCTCTACCCTTTTTCATGCCTACCATGGCTTTTTCGGTGCCACCAAAATTGCCACAAAACATGGACAACAAAATCATAGTTGTTAAAACAAAACAAATACTTATCCAATCAATATTAAACTCAATATATATTAATCGTAATTTATTCTCTTGTCTTGTAAATTAAACAAAATGTTAATTTCTCTCATTCATTAAATTAATACTACTATTTTTTCCTCCTCCCGATCCTGCCACCTTCTTTTTCGTCTTCGTTGCAAAAAATAGTGTATAGCAGAAAGCAAGTGAAGAAGCATGTGTATAGCTGGTACAGGTTGAATCCAATTGCTGGAGCTATATAATGAAAGGGGACATGAATAGGGTTTCTTTATGATCATCATGATGCATTGGGAGGGCTAAGGCAAGAGGGGACACGTACACGTTGGTTTCAAGGGTAAAAGACGAGTGTATGATTAGCAGTTATGGGCAGTAGGGTAGGGTACCCTTTCATTTAAGGACATCACATCACCTGCCTCCAGAAAGGCACCTACATGCCCCCCCACAAAAGATATATAACCTAATATTCATTGAATGAGTGATAATAAGATTATATAGTTTTGTGGTAATCATCCATAGCAAGATCATGTCACTCCATACCTGTCAACGTTGTATTAAAACGCTTTTAAATTGTGTTGTAAAATAATCTTACATAAACAAATTCAAGACATCTTAGTTTTATTTTTTTAACCATACAAAACATAAAGTATATTTCTTATTTATATCAAATAACATCAATTAAACTCGTCCTTTTAAAACATAGTTATTTTAGGTTCTTATTGTCTATCGTCCAATAAGGATTAATATATTTTCATACAAGATTATCATTTGTTATAATATTTATCTTAAGCATCTCTAATTTGACTTCTCTAAACATCTTTAACCTGGTTTCACACCTTGAACATCTTTGACTTGGTTCTACAATTTAAACATTTTTAGTTTGACTTCACATCTTAAGTATCTCTAGACCAGTAGCTTCAAGCTTTGAACATTTTTTATTTCACTTTGTGCCTTATGCATGTATAACTTCACTTCAACCTTCAAGAACCTTTATTTTGCTTAACATTATTAGTATCTCTAACTTAGTTCAACACCTTAAACATCTATAGGGCAGCTCCATATTGCTAATTGAGATGGCATAGAAATGAGATGAATAACAAACATCTCTAGTGCTAGTAATATAATCTAATCAAATTTTAAATTTCTATGACTTATTTACATATGAGAGACACTTTTAATAAGTGAGAGATATTGTAAATAAGTTTTATCAACAAATAAATTTTAATATCTTTCTATTTATCTCCAATAATATCAATTATAATAACTCTCTCAATAGATTATTACTAATTATAAAGGCTCGTGAAATCCATGTAATGATATTTCTATTAAGAGAATCATTTGCATTGATATTTCTTCTTTTATATTCTATATTAATTTATTAAATTGTTTTATTAATTAACTTGAACAAGCAGTTACAAGTTTCTTAAAAAGTCAAAGAGAATAATGACGCTTTTAATTAGCTCACCAATCCATCTATAAATTATAAATATTAAATTATATTAAAAAAACGAAAACCGTAAATGCTCTTTTCTTTTTAGATATATTCAGAATTTAACATCATTTTATATTGTATTTAGAGTTTAATATAATTTTGAATTGAATTTTAATAGAACTTTATTGAGATTTTAATTAAAAAAAATTGTAATAGTTTTTGAGATTGAAAAAAAATTGTAATTAAATGAATCAATCTGTTTAATCCATCAATATGTGAGGAATCTAACCGAGTTTGAATTCTTTAGATTCACTACTAAATGAACCAGATTAAATTAATTCACTAAATAATTAATCCATAATGAACCAAACTCAATGATCCATTTTAATAACTTTAACTAAAATTCGAAGTTGAATCTCACTAAAGATGCTCCAACTCTTTGATGTTCTTATTTTACCTCAGTTAAAAATCTTCAGTCAAGTAAACAAAAATTAAAAAAAAAAGTTTCACTTTAAAATTTGTATCACTTATAAAAGAACGTGATCAACTTTCAAATATTGACGTATAACTAAAAGTAAAGGAGTTTAGACACCAATTTAAGATTAATCATGTTATTAGTGTAAACAAATTCCTGTCTTCAAACTTTTTCTTTTAAGTAGAATTTATTATTAATATTTGAAATTTTTTATGAACTAGAAATAATGTTAATTTAAAATATATATATATATATATATATATATATATATATATATAAAGTATAAATCTTAATTTATAAATAACTTTTATAAAATTAAATTTAATTAAAATTTTACTTTTTATCATTGTATTATAATTATTATTTAAAGTTTATCATAACAACATTTTTTGTTTGTTAAATATATTATTTTACTCAATATCAGGTTGTTACTAATTTTTTGAGGTTGAATTAAATTTTATACCATGTTAAGATACTGTGTTAACAAATTATTAATAGAATAAAGAAATTCAGTCCCTTAAATTTTTTCTATTAAAGAAAGTAATGTTATAACTTAATTTTTAAAATTCATTATACTTAAGAAAAAAATGAATATACATTTATGTCATTTAAAATTTTTTGATATTATTAGATAGATCAGTACCTCGGCATAACAAATTATGTATGCATGCAGTCATAATTTATTATGCTGAACCAATCGCACACGTAATGAGTAATTCATCACAAAATTTTCTCCTTATCTCAGCACGCATTTCTTCCTCTTTTCCTTTTACTTTTTTTTTCACCCTTTTCACTCAAACCTACAGATTATAAATATAGATATCATGATATTTATATAAATAAATAAAATATTTATACGTTATCCGTGAAAATTTGTCAAAAATACTCATTTTTTACCATTATGAATGGTATCAATAGTTGTACCATCCATTGCCATTGTTTTTGTTTATTTCAACAAGGAAGGAAATATATAAGTGGTACAAAGTATGTGGAATTTATATACAACATTCAAAAGATAAAAAACAATAAAAACCAGAAGATAATCACTACTGAGAGTCAAATATAGGTCATAAAAACCAGATGAAGAAAAAAAAACAAGTCACTTCATCCTTCCCCAGCAATTATAAAGAGTAACTGCTTCAATACCACATTCATATGAAATTCTATTTCCATCGAGAATTACAAAAAACTGAATTTGAATTTAAACTTCCTTCAATCAATATTGCCTTTCTCCTTGATAAAAAAAAACACATTCAATGTGATAGAGATGATGACATCTGAATCAATGACCCACTTTCCTCTTTCCAACCAAACGAAAAGCATAAATTAATCTCTGCAAATACAATGTTGTAATGCAAATACGAAAGAAGTGTATTGAGAGTTGGGTATAGAATTGGGCCAGGGGAACCTCTGTGTTCATTCAGAAGACAAGATCATCATATCACATACTATGGTTGTCTCAAAGAAGATGAGATACCTTTCCTTAGTGGGGCCATATAATTCAGATATATATATATATATATATATATATATATATATATGCCAAATATAAACACCCATTCTATTCATAAACTTCACTCTAACATTTTTCCTCATGACACTTGCAGATCAATAATTTTCGTCGAAAAATATAATATTATATTAATCATCTCTTACACCCACTTGCACCCCATCCCCATCTGTCTATATACGTTGTTAATTTTTACGAAGATAAATTTCACCAAAAAATCAAAAATCAATTTTGGCTGTACTTAACCCAATTGCATGCATGGTCATTGGTTACCATCGAATCGATTTCACACTCTGTACACGGCAGTACGTAGGCTCACTCTCAAACCATTAGTTTCGGGGAAAACACCACAGCCACTAGTTTTTGCTGCAAATTTAGCATTTTTATATTTTTATATTACTCTTCTGACTACGGTTGGTCTTTGACATCACAGACGACAAATGCCAATTAATATGTATTAAATTCAATGTCTTTCTTCTGTCAGTCAGTGCTCAGAAAACAAATTTAGATTCTGTAGACTGTCAGAAAACTTTCAACATCTTACTTCATTTTCAGATCAAATTAATTACACCCCCTGCATTTGCCTAATATAGCAGGTATTTTAGATAGTGCAGAAATGAGTTAGATAGAGCAAGCAAGATGTGTACCAAAAAGTCTGCATAGATTGATAGAGTTTAGCTGTTTTAACTTCACTTTGAATCACTGTTTACACTTATTTTTTTCTTTTTCCTGTCATGTCAAGATATATCGATGAGCCACTAATCAGCTTAAGTATAGTAAGTTTGTCGTTAATTATTGAGACAGATTTTCACAGACAGATTTATAGATGGTTGGTGTAAGATAGTGGAGGTGTATAACAGAGAGAAAATAGGGTGACAAGAGAGAGAGATGACAGCAAAGGAAAGAAAGATGGTTCACGGATGCAGAAGGTTACAAAAACTAAAAGCTTTTAGAAGGAGCGAATCCCATCACGGACAGGCAAAGAGCAGCATCGCACATCCCTATCAGGGACATGCTGCTATCTCTCTCTCTTCATCTCAATCATCATTTTCTTTCTCAATTCATTCCAATCTTTTAACCACTCTTCTCACATGGCTGCCAAGCTGTCCATCTGCAATCCTCCATTGTCATTCAACACTCAAAAACAAAGGTTTGGTAAAACTCAAGATAAATTTACTATATACATCTCTCTAAATTTCATTTTACAAATATATTTTATAGAGTGAAATTGAACTTATTAATATAATATTGAAGTCCTGTATTAGAATTTATATTAATGAAATTTTTACAAATTGAATTTAGTTTAAAATTCACTCGTTAATTTTATATAAAGGAATAACAAAAAGTAGAAAAACACAAGTGACAAGTGTTAGTGTACAAGCTAAATTTAATATATAGAGCAATGTTTCAACTTTTTATGTATATAACAAGCGTTTATATATAATATTTCTCTTGTCTATATTGAAACAAAAAAAGTGAAACTGAAAAACTATTTGTTTTCCTATTATTTTTTAATTTACATGACATTAATGTTTTAGTATTAATGGAATTGTACATTTCTACTTGCTTTTTCATTGATCAAGTACGTTTATATCATGTTTTTGAAAGAAAAAAATGAATAAAGAATATAGTGATTCAATCGGGTGCTTTGTTTTTCAAGAAACAAAACCAAAATAAAAAAAGATAAATGGATTAGTTTTTTCTTT